GATCTGAACCAATATGATTGTCAGATAATTAGTGACACGTACAATCATTGTCTTATTATCTAAGTTTGACCACCAGTAAATAAGAAAATCAAAGGTCTCAAACTTGAAATATAAAGCTATACCTTTATAATTTGAGAGATTAATCCAAGCACCAAATGTGGCTGTAAAAGGAAAGGAGAGCTTCAGTTATAGAGATACAGAGAGAAATTTTCAAAAACAAAAAGTTCCTAGCTAGTTCAATTCTACTTACCCTTCCTTCCACCAAATCATGAGGTCCAATGTTAACCACAGTGCATCCAATGGCTTTTGCGGAGTTCAGACACAGAGTATGATTCTCATTTCTCTCCCAAGGATTAAGTACCCTTTTGGTGTTTATTGTTCTTTCATCTATTGTGCCAGGAACGGCAACATTTATAAGCTTACTGCAATAACCACAGAACATGTCATGATCTCATCCACACATGAGAAAGTTGCCACAAGGAGAAAATAATTTTCTAAATCAACTTAATTGAATGACTTACCAGAGAAGAACTCCATCTTTTGCAATATTGAAAAGATCGTCACTATTAGGATCTAAAGGAAGAAATTGCACCAGGAAAGGGTCATCACCAAGGTAAGTGTTGATGTGATGAACATAACATCCCTTCTCGGATTGACTGATTGTATGAAGTAGGGTAGTTGTCGAGGCCTTGAGAAAGGCAGAGGAGTCCTTTGTACCACCAACCTGAGCTGAGGCTCGAACTTGGAAGCTTAGATGAACCTGCCAATGCCAATAAAATTGACCTACATGTTACTTATGCTTATACATACTACCACATTATAACCTCCAATGTCATAAAGCAAGTTGTAACTTCTACATACAGATATTTATTATAGCATTAAAAACAGACTGATTAATTATAACATGAGCTCATCATTTTCAACAATAAATTCTACTTCTCAATTCTTAAATCTTAATGCATTAATACACAATCATACAACTACACAACACAGATAGATTAAGAATAAGAGATTCACCAAGTCATTACCTTCAAGAAATCCTCGAACTCGACCTCTTGATTCATATCTGAGGCTGACTCTATCAAAATATCCTTAATATCCTCCTCTTTGAAAGACTGATTAAACGCTTTTAACTTCGCCAAAACTGGCGGCATGTCTCCAATGGTAACCTTGCCATTGTTATTCTTCAAAGAAGTATACTATAACCAGAAAGCAAAACAAAACAAAAAACACCCATTAATCATCATCTACATCATTTTGTTTAATAACTACTCCCTCCATCCGGACTTAATGTTCGCCCTCATTATAGCCATTTGAATTAGTAATGTGACAACTAAATTCGGACGGGGTAATAAATTAATAATTATGAAAAAATACTCAAATCAAGAACTATACCAATACAATATTGTGCACCATCTAATTGCAATGACCAAAAAATAAACAAAACCCAGAAATTGCAATAAGACTAAAATGAAATAAAGAGGGTTTAAAGGGTAATTACTTTGGATTTGAGGCTGCGAAGTTCAACCTGAGTAAACTGGCTATGAAGCAAAGGATCAGAAACAACAACACCCGCATAACCAGACATCTTGCTAATCCTTTCTTCCTCCTCCAATCAGACAATCTGATTGGGAAACCGATTGAAATCTTCCAAATATGGTATTATTTCCTACTAAATCAAACAAAATCAATACCAATACATCATTATTGAAATTAAAAGAGAAATGAGGGCAAATTATTGGTATATTAATCATACAGTATAGTAATATTAGTTAATTCATACATTTATTCAAGAAAATTGCACTGTTCCATTGATCCAATAAATTAAACAAAATTGTCAACTACTACATATTATTATCAGATTATGAGAAGATAAACTGGTAAAATGAAAACCCAGAAAGAAAAATAAGATTTTAAACTAAAATAAACAAAAATGAACATACCAATTAACAAAATCTTTGTTCTTGCAGAAAAAAATAACCCAGCAAAAATCCTGTTTTGGTCTTAAAGTTTGACTCTTTTCTCCAAAATTATCACAAATTTTGGGAAGGGCAAGAAGAATGCGTAGCAAAAGAGCAAAGGTAACCCAAAAAGATTAGAAAAATGAAATCTTTTTTTATTTTTAGAAACTAAAGATTGAAATCTAAAAAACCCAAAAAGAAAGAAAACAAAATTAAAAAATGGGTTTGTGGTTTTAGTTTAGTGGCCGGCAGAAAAAAAAGAATTATTTGAGTTTTTTGAGGTTTTTTTTTCCTTTTTCTTCTAGTATTACAAAAAAAAAAAATTAAAATAATTAAAAAATATATATTGTTGTATTTTTTTTTTTCTGGTTCATTTTCATGACACAAAAAAATGGCCCACCAATCCAAGTCACCGATTATGATTTGTCTTTATTAAAGGCTTTCTTTGTCCACCTGGATTGTGGTGATGCCCGAAATTTGACACTATTCTTGATTTACCTTTTCATTTTCCCTAGTAGTCATCGACTTTCTTGGTATTTCATGCCATTTTTGGATTCTTCGATGTTGTTAGTTTTGGTAAGTTTTTGGTGCTTCATTGAGAGCTGGCAAACCCTGACCCGATCCGAACCCGACTCGAAGTTACTGAGAGAGATCCGAATCCGACCTAAACCGAACCCGAACAACCCGAATTCGACCCGATTTGACCCAAATTTCATATTTCGTAATAATATTAAGTTTTACACTATTTTTAATAGTTTCTAAGCATAACCCGAAATCTGACCCGGACCCGACCTGCTGACCCGAATTGCCACCCCTAATCTTATCTCGGGAGATTTTTATTTTTCACAATTCACATCCTAGTTCAATAAAACTTGTAAGAATAGCGAATATTATGTGTTATTGTCCATTTAACTAGTTTAGTTGGTAAAGTCTTAGAGGTGATACCTAAAACTTGAGATTGAATCACGTTAACATGATTCAACTTTGAACTAAATTAATCAAATATGCCTTTTTTTTTGTACTTTCATTGTGTTTCGTGATTGTTGTGATTTGCAATGGGTTGGTGGCTAACACACTATGGTGGTTAGTGGTGTTTGTAGTCGATGGCAATGGGTTTGAGGAGCGTTTTTTTATTGTCACACACTTGAAGGAAGGAGGTTGAATTGTGGTGGTTTCACTTGTTATTTTGATAGTAGAGTACACCGGTATATTGTAGAGAGGATAGTAAAAAGAAATCTATAAAATTTTAGCTTCTCAATAAAGAAAGAAAGTGAAAATTAGTTAACTCAAACATATCATATGAATAATTGTTAAATATGGTTCTGGACTGCACCTACAAATCAAGAGAGATAGTTCACTTTACAAATCCAAAGAAGATTTCATTCAAAAACTATATGGCAATAGAGGAGTAGCCCCTCGGCATTATAAAGTGATTAACTATTTTCTTCAACTAATGTAAGACATTTACATGTGATGATACTTAATTAAGAGGTCTATTTTTCAACACTCTTCCTCACATGTAAGGTCCTTTTAACCTTGTCTAATGATGATACTTAATTCTTTATGACTAACAGTTTGTTTGGATAAAGAAAGGGGAAGGAAAAGAAGGGGAGGGAGGAGAAGAGGAGGGGAGGGAAGAATGATGAGTTTTCCTTCCAAATCTCTCCATTGTTGGAGGGACCAATTTCCTACAATTTAATCATTCCATTTCTCTCCCCTCTAATTCCCTCCCTTCCTCATTTGCTATTCAAATGAAAGATACTCATCTCTCCATTTCTCTTTCCTTCCTTTCCCTCCATTTCTTTCAATCCAAACACACCGTAATGGTAAATATACTTGTCCTGTTTAAAGACTCAAAGGAATTTATTTTATTTTATTATAATATATATAATCTTTGGGATAATTATTAAGCTTTAACACATGTTCAAAATGATTTTCATTTTGTCGGTATTTTATGCGTAATAATTCTTATCTTCCCTCACTAAATTCTTAGAGCATCTTTAAGGGTGAACATTTTAATAGTTCACAATGAGTGAACAAATACGGTGGTGGCTTAATGGCAAACTCTTTAATTGTTCATGTTGAGTGGTCATGGGTTCGATTGCAGGAGCAAGCACTTGCATGAATTAATTCGATGTGGGCCCCACCAATATTTTGGACTGATATTCATGCAAAACGACGTCGTTTTGCTGTTTCATGTTGCAAAACGACGTCGTTTTGCTGTTAAAGGTCAGAAAAAAAATAGAAATCATCGGCTGGGAGCGCGCCACTTGGCCCAGCCGCTGCTTGACACGTGTGTACTGTTTTAAATATATCCGTTGTAATTTTACAACGAATATATTTTACAAAATACAAATCAAAAAAAAAAATTACCAACGACTCTATTTTTTTCCCCTCTATAAATAGACACCCATATTGATATACTTTTTTCAACTTTGAAAATTCATTTTTTTCTACTATATTTTTCTCTTCAAAAATCCCCTCTATAATTACCAATATTATTATTATTTATACCAATATTAATATTATTATTGTTATTATTATTTTTAATTATTATCATTAATATTATTATTATCGTTACTATTATTTTTATTATTATCGTTATTATTATTATTATTATTTTTATTATTATCGTTATTATTATTATTATTATCGTTATTATTATTATTATTATTATTATCGTTATTATTATTATTATTATTATCGTTATTATTATTTTTATTATTATTGTTATTATTATTATTATTATTAAAATTTTATTTTTTCCAAATATAAATTATAATTATGGATGCTAATACCAACCCCAAAACAAATAGAAAGAAGAAAAAAAATTTGGGTCAAAATATGATCCCGAATCAAGCCAATTTTCCTCCAATTCACCCAAATTTTTCACAAACACCCACAAATATTCCCCATAATTTTTCTGGAGTTTATCCTCAAATACCCCAGTCAAGTTTCCCAAATAATCCACCAAATTTCCCTCAAAATTTTAATTTTTCTCAAAGCAGTTCAAATTTCCCACATCCATCCATGATACCAATGGGTTACGGTGAATATGGTGCTGCATCTGGTTATTTTCCGTCACAACAACCGAATCCCAATATTTGGGAATCGAGCAATGTCTTATCTGAAGAAGATGAGGCAGAAGAAGATGAGAGGATGATGGTGAGGGAAATGAAACTCCTTCTCCCCATCAAAACTTCACTCAAATGTTACAGCAACCACTCAAATCAACTCCGGAATTTCGTGTTAGTGGTTCAAACAATAGAGGTTGGTCGCGATCAGAAACTGCGGCTCTTATATCCGGCTACATGAACACCAGCACCGACATAATTACCGGCACAAATCAAAAGAAGGGTGTATTTTGGAAGAGAGTCTTGGACGCATACGATGCTGCCAGGGAATCGAATGCAGATGAAATATCCCTACGAACTATTAGTAGTTTGAAGGGAAGGTGGATGCGAATCTCTGAAGCCGTGTTAAAGTGGTGCAGAAGCTATGATAAGGCCCGGAAGCGAAAGGGAAGTGGCTATAACGAAGATGATGTTATCCAAGAGGCCCACAAAATCCATGAGAACTCATTCGGACGATTCACCTTCTACGAGGAATGGATCCAATTAAGGAAGTGGGACAAATTCCGGTCTTTCTTGGACCAACAAACATTCAAGCCTTCGGTGGGACGTCCACATTCAACTCCACTGACGGATGAGTCTGTAGGGAGCGGAAGTAGTGGGAAGAGGACACGGGATGAGGGTGACAATTCCTCACCTACCACACCAACCAGCGTGGGTGTCGGTGATGAGAGAGTAGCTCGTGCTGAAGGTATTTAAAAGGCTAAGTCGAGATTGAAGGGTAAAGCTCCATCAAGTCAAGCATTTAAGGAATTAGAAACATTCAACAGCCGATTGCAGCTACTTGGGGATTCGATGAATGTGTCAAGCGAAGCAGAAATGAAGAGACTTGAAATACAGGAGCGTAAGGAGGCAAGGAAACAACGGAAAATTGAGTTAGAGCAATATAGGATCAACTGGGAGAAACTATCTCGTCTAGAACAGAAAGTAAACCGAGAACAGTGGGAAGACGAAATGATAGTAATACTTCGGAACAATATTCAACGTTTCAATAATGATGCTTAGTGTCCTTTATTTTTATTGTAGTTAAGTGTGTTCAATTCCTTTGTTGTTCTTCATTTGCAGTAGTGATAAGTTTTCAATTCCAGTTCAACCTCTTGTACTCATTTCCTTATGTTTGTACTTTATCAATTAATCAGTAAAATGGATCTTTTCCACTTTCCCATTTTCATAGCCCATGTGATCTTATTCTGTTTATTCAATTATATCAATTTGTCTCTTTATATATAATTGTGTCAGTATCTTAATTTCCCCTTTGTTAGCCCATGTGAAACCCTTCTTCTCCATTCAATTTCTGTGTGGTTCTAATCCAGTGTTGGTCATAGCCCATGTGAAACCCTTCTTCTCCATTCAATTTCTTTGTGGTTGTAATTCATTGTTTGTCATAGCCCATGTGATCTTTGTCTCTTTATATTCAGTTATTTCTGAAGAAGAATTACAAATTAGTTCACTATAAATAAACACCATTCTTTCATTTTTTTTACACACAAACACATAAATCGTTTGCAGTTACTATTAGCAAACCTCACTCTATCTTACATTTCTTACGTACAAAATGAATTCAAACAGTTTAAACGAAAGCTCAACCGATTCCTCTTCATCTTCATCTAACTCGGATGATGAGGGAAGGGAGCTTAGAGTTCAACAACGTAATGAAGTGTGTCTTATGATACAACACGTAATGCATGAGTACATTCCACCAATTATTCAAGCTGCCACTCAGCAACGCCGACGCAAATCTACTGAGCCCCGAAAGGATAGGGGACGCGAAGAAGGTCATGCACGGTTATACAATGACTATTTCGCGGAAGTCCCAGTTTATCCAAGTTCCTTGTTCCGGCGCCCGTTTCGAATGCGTAAACATGTGTTTGAGCGCCTTCTCAACGCAGTGACCCAACATGACCCCTGGTTTCAACAAAGGCGAGATGCGGCAGGTCGTCTTGGTTTGTCTCCACTTCAAAAGTGCACTGCGGCCGTTAGACAACTAGCTTACGGGTGTGCTTCAGACGCTTGTGATGAGTATGTCCGTATAAGTGAGGCAACTTCACGATTGGCACTCCAAAAGTTTACAGAAGGTGTCATCAACCTGTTCGGTGATCAGTACCTACGCCGTCCAAACATCGCAGATATGGAAAGATTGCTACGTATTGGGGAAGAACGTGGATTTCCTGGCATGATAGGCAGCATTGATTGTATGCACTGGGAGTGGAAGAACTGTCCACACGCATGGAAGGGGCAGTATCAAGGAAGAGAAGGAGTTGCAACTCTCGTACTGGAGGCAGTTGCGGACAGAGATCTATGGATATGGCATTCGTTCTTTGGGATTCCAGGTAGCTGCAACGATATTAATGTGCTTCATCGATCCCCTGTGTTCGAAGACGTCTTAGAGGGTCGAACACCTCCTGTGAACTTCGTAGTCAATGGTCATCATTATACGAATGGGTATTATCTTACTGATGGAATCTACCCTAGATGGGCTTCTTTTGTGAAATCCATTACGAGTCCACAAACTCGTCAGGATCGTTTATTCGCAAAACACCAGGAAGCTGCAAGGAAAGACGTTGAACGCGCATTTGGGGTCCTTCAAGCTCGTTTTGCCATTATTAAAAAGTCGTCTTTGGCGTGGGATACCGACATACTCCACAATATCATGCTCGCCTGCATCATAATACATAATATGATCGTTGAAGATGAACGAGAGACGTATCAAAATAACGTTAATACCAATGAGTTTATGAATGCTGGAGGCAACGCTAATGAGGACACTACCGAGTACCGTACTGATCGTATTGTGGATATCGGCTTATACTTGTCTCGTAGAACAGAGATTGAGGATCAACATACTCATTTGCAGCTAAAAAACGACTTGGTCGAACATATATGGAATAAATTTGGTAACAACGAAAACTTAGGCAAATAGGTTTACAACAAATGGTTATCCCTAAGGACATCTTACAAAACGATGTGTAGTTGTTTTTTTTTTTAAAAATAAAATGTACTAGATTATAGTTGTAGAACTGTAATCACGATTTGTACCTCTTTTTTTTTTGTTAATTAAAATTAGCTGCATTGTTGTTTAAAAAATATTAATCACAAGAATTAGTTTTTTAAAAAGCTGATAAAAAAATGCGATAATTTCTTAATTAGTAATCACGATTAAAATATTAAATACGTCAATTAATTACATTGACATCGGGTTAATAAATTATAATTATGAAACAAAAAAGATTATATTTACAAAAATAAAATAAGGTGGGGTAGGGAGTATTGATGATGAACCATTGTTTAGTGTTCATTGTTAAGAGTGAATATTGTAAATGGTTTGTTGGGTTGATGTGGATGAGAGAGAAATGGTGATAGTGACCCATGAACCATTTTTTTGTGTTCACCAATAATGATGCTCTTAATATATCATACTATGTCACCGACTAAATTCGCCAATTGTCATATGTAAGTATTATCTCATAGGGAGTTAAAAATGCATATCACTACTCACTAGTATGTAGGGATGTAGGATAAACTATATTGATATAAATATTGTCCTTTTCATCATGCTAGATCCAACTACCATTGAAAGATGTATAAATGCTGATTCATGCTCTACATCTCCATGATGCAAGTATATTTCTATAATAAGACATGTTTTTCAACTCAACCATCCGCACACACAATATATGATTATTTAATTATTTTAATCTAGAAAAAAAATTTAAATACATTTTTATTCAATTAAATTAATTAAAAAAAAATAATACCTCACACAAAATTCATGATCACTATGATCACAAAATTAATTTAAATACAAAATTGATATTCAAAATTAATTGACATTCACATACAATTTACACCATTTAGCATACTTGATGATTTTTTAACCTTTTAGACACTTTTTGCAGACAAACTTTTTTATGAATCCAAGTTTGATGCAATGAGAAAAGGGAAGAGTAGATTCATCATTCATTAGTAAATGATTCGTTTAGGCCCCCACAAATCACATACAGTAGCTTATTAATATTGTTATAGGAATTGTGGGACTAAACTTAGCTAACTTGTTACTCCTTTTTCTGATAGAGACTGGTCAAAACATAAGCATATGACCATATGCTGCTAGTAATAAATTATAATTAATTATATTTATCAAAATAAAAATATTAATTAATTATAGTGTATTTATTTATCAAATTAATTAATTAATAATCTATTAGTTTAGGGCCCAGCCCAACTTCCCAAGTTTTTGCAAAAGCAACCACACAAATTAGATTTTATTACGTCATTTTTTTATTTATTAAAATTAATAATATATGATTTTATTTTTATTTTATCATTGGGTAGAGGAGGACATCTTTCTACATTTTGAGTCTTCTAAAATAGAGTATGGTGAAATTAAATTTTATATGATTTGTCAAAAAAAATAAAAAATAAAAAAATACAAGAGTTCCATCACTTTTCCTAAGCTAACGCACACGGAACACCGGCCTAAACCGACCAAAACATTCCCTATACTCCAACAAAACAAAGCAACAACACTTTTTGCACCTTCCCCAACCCGTTTTTCTTGTTATATTCATTCAATCTTATGTGTGAATTCTTCTAATCATTTTAGTTTTATTATAAATTATTTTGGATTTGAAATACTTACATTACCGGATATATCCATTACGGTTATAAATATTAATTAGGTGTCACATGGGTGAAGAATGTTGGAGTGAATAACGGAAATGTGACACCTTTTTCAATCATCTTAAGATAGCATATGTGACTATTAACTTTAAACAATAGTAGGTTGTTTCAAGATCTACATCTCATTGTCAACTTGTCAACATAGACACAATTCAGACAAATCGCTAATAACTCTGTTAAGATAAAAAATGAAAGGCTCCCTTGCTGATTGCCATTTACCATAATGAATTAGGCCTAAGTTTCCTTGGGCTAAAAGGAATAGTAATAACTAATAAGTACAACAATGTAAACAACGAAGTGTATTTTACCAATAATAGGTCAAGAATGTACTAAAAAGCCTCTTCTAAGGTTCTGAAGGCAATCTAGGTGTCTTGCTACACCCCTGTGGCTTCACCAGATATGCCCCCTGTCCCCCGATCAGCAGTTAAGCCAGGGCGTTTGTGAGAATCATGATCATGCCGGCTACTGCAAACTGACAAAACGCACATGGATTGACAGGAAAGGATTATTAGATTCCCAATAGTATGGAACAACCAAATATACTTCCCCAGAAAGTTGACAGGACACCAGCTGACCAAATTTGTAGAAAAAGTTTCCGGAAGCTGTCAAAATGGAGTGGCTTTGCCAATCTCAATATATGACATGCTCGCTCATGGCTGTAGCACCAACTGGCTTCAATTAAGCTGTTACGCTATTTCATTCTGCTTTGAGGACTATCTTCATACACTCATACACAAAATAACTTATTGCTGCTGATGGGAGTACCTGAAGATATTCAGAGCATAGCACCACAATATGTTAGACATACATCAAGATCAAGTCATATCGACTCAATTCAATTAAATCAAAGCCAGAAAAATTCTTTTGCCTCCAACAGAAATGGACCCTGATTTTAATAATCAAAATGGAGGTCTTTGAGTCATTCCGTTGTGAGTTTGCCATTGGAACAGATATCTATTACTTAAGTCATGAATGTGAAGACAGAGCTGAAGCTCCTGCTAAGGTAATTCGAGCATAAAAACCAGAAAAATTGATAACGTGAGTGACAAAACAAATACAGCCTGCAGACCCTCCTATCTTCCTAAGAATTTAACACCAGCTTAAATCCAAGATTTTAATGGTTCATCAAGAGGTCACTTCAGAATCATTAGCCCTCATGTTTATGAAGGTTGGAGCATTTTTTCAAGGAAAAGTGGAGACAACGGAAAAAAGTAACATGGCGTCAACCTGATCCTGGGGAGAACAATCCAAAGGCTTTCCAGAGTAGATCAGTTATCCTCAGGTGGAAAAAGTAGCAATTGTTGAGGGTAGTTCTAGTTTGTTCCCCAACTCAAGCTTTCTTACCTAACGATAAAGTTACTCATTGGTATAAAACAGGTCTAAACCAAGCTACAAAATAAAGTAGTTGCAATAAACTCAGTTAATGTTTTAGGCCTTTTAAAAAAGTAAAAATGCAAAATCGTGAATTGGAGATAGATCTCTCACATTATAAAATTCAGTCTAGGGCCTCCAACTCAAAGTTTTGGTTAACTGCTGCATATAACTTCAATTATAGAAGGAATAACATAGAACGATAAAAATCATGAGGAATTGAACTAGCCCTGATCAGAGAGTGCCTAAACAGAAATTTCACATCTGTGTTCCTTATTGAAGATGGATTAACAGGGCTCCAATAATATAAGGAAGAACACAAGAATAAAAAAAAATTGTGAGCAATTGAACTAACCCTAAGCAGATAGTGCCTAAGCAGGAATTTCAAGACTGTGCTCCATATTGAAGATTTGCATTATTTAAAAAATTACCAGTCTTTTGACATACATTGCAATTCACTTAGGCCACTGAGCTTAAGAGTACAGGATGCTCATGCATGGAAGCATGAACAAGAAACTTCTATCTACAGCATGATTGATAGATTATTCACAACAACATAAAGAACGAAAGAATTTAAAGATGTTGGAGCTGATTTCCTAAACTTAATAATCCCCATTATTTTCTCATTCTAATCACTAGCACTCAATAGACAGGAAAGCGAAAGGCTTTTAAGATCTTGAATTTCAAGGTGCAAGTGTGCAACAGCCATATTACCTCAGTCTTGTCATCAAAACTCGGTACCAGATTGTGCAATAAAAAGACAAACGGTGCAATTTAGAAGACTGATTTCAAGGGCCTTAACCGTCCCACAATACCACTTTAGAGTTTAGAGCTGAGGAAGCCAGGGCTAAAGTCAATAACATATAGGGCAAGGTGCAGTCTGATACTAATAATGTGCTGCTGTTTAATTTGTATGTCTGAAAAGAAGAAAAATGTTTAGCTACTGAGGAAAGCATTCTGAAACACAAATCCGGGATTGATTGGCTAAAGGTTAGTAATTCCAACTAAAAAGTTGTCTTCTCTTTGCTTTTATTTAAATGAAAACAATTTAGGCACTGCATCCCAAAACAACAATCAAGGCAGCAAACTCAAACGATCCTACTAATATTCAATCCAAAGATTCAAAACTTAATACTTAATGCAAGTAGTAGTGGGAATCTGCGGACCATGTACTTCCTGCTAGTGATTCCATTGATGAAAAAAGGAAAATGTTTGAGTCAAGCTTTAAATAAGATGCTGCACAGTCCACTTATTTCAGACCAGACCAGACCAAATGAGACCATATCTTTTTATTAGCTTGTGTTTATTGCTAAATATCTTTAATTCCATAAGAAAATATCATTACAAAAATTTCATGATTAGAAAATACACATTAAAAAAAAAAAAAAAAAAAAAAAAAAAAAGTTAAGGACATCTCATTTAATGCTTTGATTCCTCAAGGATCAGAATACAAATAAGGTCAGAGTAGCCATATCAGGAAATCAGATCAAATCACATCAACTGAACTGAACATAGCCTAGATTGAGCTAACTTTGTTGTTAAATAACGGTTACAGTTACTGCACCAGTAATCAAGGAGAATAGGAGAGAGAGTGAAGAATATGGGATTAATAAGAAAACATAAGAGCGAGAGTTGTGAGTAGGATTTAGTAAGAAAGAGAGTGTTTTCAGAGGGATTTGTGGAAGGAAAGGTTTGCCACGATAGGAAAAGAGCAAAAGTGTAACCAACTTTAAGGAACAGATGAAAGTAGGAAGCCTAACCAACAAAAAGGAATGGAGGTACTATGTACAACCTCAACCCTGATTTCTAATATTTTTAATCTGCCAGTCAGGGATGAAGCCTTCAGACCACTTCCTTGCTGCAAAAGTTTTAGCAGGTAGAATGTTTCAGGTCATTAATTCGATTGTAGATATGATATGTCTCGTCTTTTACAGCTAAGAAGCTCTTCATTAGCAATGTAGTTTGAACCCAAAAACAGATCTAGCATGGTAGTAAGAAGATTTTGTCTCCAAGATGTATGTTTTATTGTTTTCATGTGGACCTTCAAAAACCTGATGATTCCATTTATGAGCTCTGGTTGATTGCAAAAATATGACAGCCAAGGTTAGCAACTAGTCTCAACGCCATTACTTACAGAGTCGAATTAAGCTACCAAATTTAAATGCTCTTTGCTTTAAACTGGATAAGCTATGGGTTAGCTGAACTCATAGTTACTATATAATTCAGGGTTTGTGCAAAATAGAGGTAAGAGGACAAAAAGGAGAGGAAAAACATGTCAGTAAAAGACATAAAGGATTGAGAGAACTTTAACAAAGGAAACTAGGAAAGAAGTATAATAAAATTAAGGGGATTTTTTACAACAACAAAGCCTTAGTCCCACAATGATTTGGAGTCGGCTAACATGTATCGTCATAAGGAACCATACGATATAAAGAAAGGGACAGTATTTTTTTTTTTTTTTAATACCAAAAAAAAAAAAATGTACGCAGCACAGAAAAAGGAGTACAAGCAAAAAAGAGCAAACTATCCTTTAAAACAGAAAAACAAAAATAACAGATAAAAAGGATCCTTAGAACCTCCCAAATTATGTAATCTATCAAAGCCCCCACCGCCTTATGCCACAAATAACAGATAAAAAGGATCCTTAGATCCTCCCAAACTATGCAATCTATCAAAGCCCCCACCGCCTTATGCCGTTATCCCATAACAACGCCAAATAAGACATTCTGTTCAAAACAAAATGAAAGCCAAAGAAACCATGAATATACCCAGGAGGCTGGGAGTTTCATTCCAACCACAATTGCCATGAAAGCATTGTCACAACTTCTCCCTACTCTTACCACATTCTCTAATACAAATATGTAGCCACTCCAAAATCTCTAAAGGGCAAACTCCCGATTGTCATGCAAACTAAACCTCTGTTATTAACAAAGCACTTCACAGGTAAAAAAAAAAAATAAAAAAAAAAAAAACATGTGAGAAGTCTTTAAGCTACATCATACTTCAACACTATTCAATTAAATAGGGTTTGCATTTTCAGGACCTTTTGTGCTTTTAAGATGCATAAAAGTCTGGGTCAAACATGCCTTTAGATATATAATATACTTTGTTAAACTGCTCAGCACAGATTCCCCCCCCCCCCCCCAATCCAACCAGGCAACTATCCAAAAAAAGAGTTCCACCTTCCCGTTTTCTAATAATAAGTGGCGGAGATGAGTAAAAGTCCCTAATAAATTTATATCTGAGCCATTATAATTATTTGACTTAGGGAAGGGAATAATATCACCAAATTCCAAAAATTCTATTCTGGCTTCATAGCTTAAAAATGAAATCAAATGTCTATTTGCAATATCTAATTAACAGTAGAGAAGAACATAAATGTACCTGAAGTACGCTGGGAAGCAGTCCAGCATAGAGAGCTGGAATCCCTCCTTGTTCAACTATCTTCATAAAAGTTGCTGGAGTACTCAATCTTGCTCCATGAGCTTGCAACTGAAGCTGTCTCCTGATGACTTCAAGCGGATAAGTAGCAGTTTCGGCACAAGCACCAGAAATAGCACCATACAATAAGGTTCTTAGGGGTCCCAATTCCAGTTGACCCAATGCTGTTATATCTTGGCCCTGTGACTTTGTTTTCTGTATCCTTTCCTTTCCTTCAGGTGAATTCAGATAGGATGTTTTGAGTATATCATACACCCCATAAAAAACTGCACTGGAAGGTGCGATGCTAAGAATTGATGGAAGAAAGCCCTTGTAAAGGGAAAAATATCCTTCTGTTTGGATCATATAGCGGAAAGCACCAACAATACCACCCAAATTTTCCCCACCATGTGCAACTATTCTGGTCCGAATCTGAAACAAAAAACAGCAGATATTAAAAGGAAAAACCACATCAAAAGTGTTGAAAGATAAACTCAAAGTACAATTGAATAGATGAATGAATGAATCCAACCAAATAATTGCAATGCCACTCTAAATTGATTCTGAAGCCTTCATTAGAAGTTTAAAATTAGGATTTCACAAAATAAATCAAACATGTTCATTCAGTGTTACCAAATATACTAATCCCACAACAAATTACGATCAGAAACATGCGACGTGGTCCAAAAGAACAATTGGGACTAATTTAACAAATAAACAGGTAGGGAAATGTGCTCCTGCCCGTTCCACATAACAAAGTCTACTGCAAATTAGGTTACGTTGCAAACCATTAGACACCCCATCAACTAACATTTATCTCTTGCAAACATACAACCAGGTCGACCACAATAGTTTAATGCACACCACTTCCCTACTAGAGTAGCAATCTTTAAATATATTATACTCCCTCCGTTACATATTACTCGCAACAAAGGGGTATTCTTTGTTAGACATAAAATATTCCTTTGTTGCGAGTAAGTAACGGAGGGAGTATAATTTTACTTTGTAACTGAACTCTAGAATGATTATAGAACAGGCAGTTCCAGTTTGTAACATACTGTGTCTAAAGGTAAGCAGAGAACAGAGGCAGTAATTCCAGCAGCAGCTCCGGCAATGAACCTTTCAGAATTTGCTGTTTTATCCGTGAGATGTAATTTGCGTAGTTGCTTTCTATATGTATCATAAGCACAAAAATTGATTGCTTTAAATGGAGCTGTCCGTAGAATATTAAGCAAGTTTCCTTTCCAAAAGCCCCTCAAGCCCTGAGTGGCAGCAATTGTCTTAACGAGCTCTGAGATGTTTTTCTGCTCACCACGAACTATATATTCTAGCTTCAGTCTCTCAAGTGGGGCAACAACAGTTCTGAAACAGTGAAATCACTCATAAACTGATGAAGTCGAGAAACTGTAGACCCAAAGAAAAAGGCACAGTTAAGAGTTAAAATCTTAACCTATTTTTGTTTTCAGCAAAGGGACGCAAGCTAGAAAGGATCTAATGCAGCTGATATTCTCAAACTCTCAACAGTATGTGAGATCAGCACCTCATCATCTTATGGATAAATGACATAATTAGATTAACTTTTACTAGAGGGATAGGAGTGAAGAGGAATGATACCTTAACAAGCTAACATAAACACAAATATGAAAAAGCAAGCAGAAGGTGACTTGCGCAACCATAATACTGTCCTAAAAGGTAAATGAAACAACAAAACTGTACAACAACCACATTATGTGGACCACACAACTAGCATTTAACAATTTGCTGGATCTTCTTCTATTTTAATGTTGCACATTGCACTATCACATGTATCATGCAATCAGCACAAAAAGGGGGAGGTGAGGTGAGTGTGACTGATGTCATATAAGATTCAATGAAAAATCTAGTAACTTGTGCTTTTAATCTAATGAGTTTGAAATGTCATTGATATGAAACTAACACGCTACTCTAGAAACACAAAAAGCTTTTTCATGATGTATTAAAAAAGGAGTAAGATCTGACCAAATAAACACCGTGAAATGAAAATAAATGCTTCTATTGCTCTCTTATAAGCTATAAAATTCCACATACAGGATGTAACAACTGCAGGATATGAGTATTAGAACTATCTGTGGCCGATAATTACTAAAACCGGAACAAATTATCGAAAAGCCTTAATCCTCAGCAAACCCATTTCTGGGCTTGTACAAAAAATTGTGGTAGTTACGTCCCATTCTCGATTGCTAACTGATATACTTCAATAATCCTACATTGTATAGTCACAACATACAGCCAATGATCACAACATTTGCAAGAATGCAAACATCAATTCGAAAATTCGAGGAACCACAACATTGTCCAGAATCTATGTTTTTCAGCACCATGTCAATAGATAAACCATAATTCCAAACAAAACTTTGCACCCAAATTCACAAATACAGTTGGATTAAACAAACCCAATAAGCCTAAATAATACTGTATAAATTTTCAATCAACAACAAAACAAGACCCAAAATTAAAGGCATTGATTAATTAACAATTATCAACATAAGAAAAACCAATTAAAATACCAAATTAACAAGAATTGCAACAAAATGTAGGGAGGCACCTGGCAACCATGGCAGCAACAGCACCAGCCCAGAAATGCTTACTAGAGTTCATAGCGGCGGCACCGCGACCCGAAGACACAACCTTTTCCTTCTCCAACACCACATTCTTAATACCCAAATCCCCTTCACCTCCATTAGCAAAACCACTACTACAATCCTTCAAACTAATTGATGAAAAAACCCCTTTAAAAGAAAAAGAAACTACCCTTTTCCCTTTAATTGAAACCCCAGAATTTCGAGAGCATGATTTTGAAATGCTATTGTTGATTGAAGAAGGGGGTGAAATGCAATTGAGGAAAGAAGGTGGGATAGTGGGGTCGAGGAAGAGACCGCCGGCGAAGAGATAAGGTGAGGAGTGAGAAGGGTAGTGTTCTAGTAGAACTATGGCATCGGAGGTGGGCATTGAATGAGATTGTGGAGGTCAAATTGAAGGATTTTTGGAGAGAGAAAGAAGGGAAATGAAAACCTGAAATTTGCAGATTTTCAGATTTTGAAAGTGGGGGTAGCTAGAGGAAGACGAATGAGGGGGATTGCAAACGGAGTGGTGTGGCCGTGTGGGGTTTTGCTTACTCGCTTTGACGTGTTAATACGGGTCACTGAGTTGGGTTCGGTTGAAGAGTTTAATCGAGGGGTTGGTTAGTTTTTGACACTTAAAATCTGTTTATATTTATATTTACTAAACTGAGTTGGACTAAACTAAATAGAGCTGAACTGATTGAAGTTTAACTGAACTGAATAGAGGTGAAGAGAAGAAAATTAGGAGATGAACTGAACTAATTGGAGCTGAACTGAACTGATTGGAACTGAATTGAACTGAACTAAAATCAAGCTGAAGTGAACCGACCTTTAAAGGAGTATTGTACTATGTAATTGAGTACTCTGTTCATTTATGTCCTTTGTTTGGTACGAGTAACTAATTTTTGCAGAGTTTTTAGCCAATTAAACTCTATTTGAGTGTTTGGTAAATATTAGCTTATTAAAAGAGCTAAATGGCTCAAATAGATCGAGCGTTTTCAATTGGTTTATTAAACATTTATTTTTTTAGTTGTTACGTACTCAAAAGCAGCTAATAGTTAACATTTACTTCATCTATTCTTGCATAATTGACACAATCGAACTTGACATGCATGCCAAGTGGTATTTAACATTTACTTCATCTGTTCTTTTTTTAGTTGCTTTCTATGTGCTTAACACACATGCTAATAATTAACATTTACTTCATCTGAACTTAAGATTTACCTATTAAAGAAGCAAGTGCCTGCTATAAGACAATATTCATAGTACGAGTAACTTACAGAGAAAGAGATCATTTAGACGCCTATTTATATAGTATTCATACCAACAAGCTTAAAGTAGGCTACATCTCAAGATGAATCAACAATGAAATTAAAGGATTAATTTTTAAACTTATGAATTGCTCATAAATTTATAATATAAACAAATTTAGAAGAAATATAATTGTAAGAAAAAAGGTTAGCTAGTAGCTACTAGCTAGATAGAGTTGCATTGCATCATTGCATGTAGATATATCAAAATTGTTATATCAAGAATGTAAAAATAAAATACAAATATATCAAAATTGTAAAATACAAGCATTACATAATAATCGGTACATTGTTATGAATACCAAACATTTATTAGTTAGAAAGGTACACCTACATATCTCACATATATTAGTTCTTCAATTTTTTTTTTTCTCCTGAATTTTTTTATTAACACTTCCTTTAATTGTTGCTACAAACAAGATTAAAATGAAAAAAAAAAATACTTTAATTAGTCGGATGGCCATTCTTTTTGAATATCGAACGTGTATTTGATCTCCAAGTAACATTTGTTGTCATCGTCAAGAAACTGAAACAATCAAAATACATATACATCACATTATTAGTCGTAAGATCTCTATCATTATCGAGACTTTATTAATTAAACAAAGTATTTAGAAATAATCACGGTACAAACAAGTAGTACTACGTATATAAGAGTCGATTTGAAAACTTGATGAGAATTTTCATTCACCTTAGACTTAGCACTGTATGAGCCTCTTGCAAAATAACCCGAAGGTGTAGTTTCCTCTGGGATCTCATGTGTATAAGGTTCTAATTGAGGGCTAAATGTTCCAATCATTTCTTTGGTACTGTCAACTGCATAATATTATAATCGAGTGAAGAATCGATCAAATATCGTAACACATTTTATTGAAAATTTAGCAAAGAATGTCTCAATAATAAGCATGATGCATTCAAAAAAAAAATAAAAAAATTCCAACCTAAAACGCAAATATGTCCAGAGTTTATTACTTAATTACAAGAAATAAGTAGAGATATTCTTATCAATATTATACGAGGTATTACACTTATAACTTTATAAGCATAATAAAAGTAAAAATATTGCGAGTAGTTTAAAATTGTATAATTGTATAAGTATGCACGCGTGGTTATCTAAAATTGTACAATGTGTTTTGATCAAAATGAAAAATAAATGAACATGTTACACATTCTCTTTAAATCCAAGTAGCACAATGTCCAGGCCACCATGCTCTAGACCAGCTTAGTAGCAGGATATCTCTAGAATATAGAGGGAGTTCAAAGGGCAATGATATAAACGGAATTCGTTAAATGTTTTAAGTAAGCACTAATCCTCGAACAATTTATGCAATAAAGATCAAGTAATATGTACTTGAATTGAGATAATAAGATGTACCTTTGATACCAGTTTTCCATATTGTGTTGGTGTACCTAAGGCCAGAGACAATGTTGTTGGTAACTTGAAAGCAAAATCGAAGATTATAAGGGCTACCTTCCTTCAAAGTGAACCATAAGCCTTTTGGGTCCCCCGACTCTGGTAATGGAAGAACAATATCCTCTCGACCAGGAGATATTATTGTCAAACTCAATATCTTCACCTCTGGTTCCAGAGTTTCTACGATATTTATTTAGTGCAAAAAGTTAATATAAAAACTATTGAAATACCGGTTTTTTTTTTTCCCAAATAAATCACAATGACGACAATATATACAATTTGCACATACGACCTGATATACATTTGAAAATTTACAACCCCGTATTTCCCATATATACCTTCTCCTGAGTTGATATCAATTTGTCCAAGGAGTTGCTCCTTCCATTTTCTTAAACTCTCGTCATCCTGTAACATTTTACAAAATTTCATAAAGAACAAGAAAGGACAATTAAATAATTAAATCTACAAACCCACGTTTCAAATTCTCTTCTCTTATTGAAACTTGATAATTGTATCATTTAATTTGTATGTATTCTTACCAAAATATTATCAAAAAGTTAAGGCATACTTATATATACTTTGCATGTATTAATGCAACGTCGTCAAGTTGACCATATTAGTCTATTCTCAGTCTCCTTTACTACAATTTGACAATAATATTATAACTATAGCTAGGGCTGTATCAAGTTGCAATAATCATCATCGTCTTATAGAAATAAATATATAATAATATTAAATAATATATAATTTCTACATTGCGACCAGATTCAGACAACAATCTTTGACATGGAAAATATAAAGTTACTCCCTCCTGTTTTGGGACATCCAAAAAGAGTACCCACACTATATGTGCGGGAGGGAGTACGTACGTATTTCATTAGCATTTCAACAATGTCAACAAAAGAGAGATAGGTATTTGTGGATCATCACCAAAATTTTCAACAAATAATGAAAAAAAGTTTGAAAATAAATACGTAGTAAATAAAAATGTGATATCACCTTATCTTTCTCAAGGTGTTGCCGAATACTGCATTTTGGACCCAGTTGTATATTATTTAACTCTTCCTCTTCTTCCTCAGTATGACCTAATGAAGATTCACTAGGTAATCTATTAAAAGATGGATTTGGATCTTCTTCAATTCCACTTCCATGGGTTGAAGATGATATTGAATCAATTGTTTCTCCCATTTCCTTTCTTTGAAATCCCTTTATTTTATTAGAACTATATATATAATTTTTAGATAAACTTGTAAAAATTCTACCCTAAATTGATCATAGCCTATCTGAAAATTTAATTGTGAATAAAAGCACAACTAATTTCCATCATCAAACAGTTTGAAATATCACAAATAATCATAATATTAGGTTTGAAATAATGAGGGTTATTATGAAAGAGGTAAAATTAATGAAGGGACAAATTTTGATGGAAAGGGAGCTAATTAATTATGAAAGAGATTTAGATTCTAGAAGTATGACTTATCCTCAAAAGAAATTTGAGAAAAAGAAGGGAGAAAACAGATCACAATAATTAGAGGCTAAGTTGATCATACTAATTTTGAAATGGTAATAATAAAGGTTAATTTTGGGATCATATGCTTTTAATTAGAGGTGAATTCCTCTATACATTAATGGTGAGAAACAAGTAAAAGTAGGGGTGTACAAAAACTGGACCGGACCTGAAACCGGACCTGAACCGACCTGATCCGGACCGGACCTGACCCGGACCTGTTGATTCAGGTCCGGTCCCGGTCCTTAAAAATCAAGGTTCCCGGTTCCGGTCCGGACCCGGTCTAAACCCGGGGTTTTCAGGTCCGGACCTGAAACCCGGAAAAATTGTATTTTTAAAAAAAAAAAAAAAATAAAAAAAAAAAAAATTAAAATAATGCTTGACAGCTTGAGGCCTTGTGACGCTTGAATTCTCTTTCATTTCATTCTAACCCTAACAAACAACAGGCTGTCTCCCCCTCTCCCTCACGCAGTCACGCACTCACGCAAGTCTCAGCCCACCGCGGCAACGCCCACCGCCGACACCTCCTGCCTTCCTCACTCTCTCAGGCGAAGTCCAGGCGCCCACCGACCACCGCATGAGACAGCTACTGCGCGGATTTCGATTTCTCCGGTAAGTTATTTTTTTTTTTAATGTAAATCTAAATTATCTAATTATGTTTGGGTATTTTGTATTCGAAATAATGAATTAAGTGTTAGAATTTATATGTTTATTCATGTTTCAATTGCTTATAATGATTATTTGATGTTTGCATGTTGAATTTCTTTTTTTTACTTCAATGGTTTCGAATTTATGTTTTTTCTTTTTTGGTTTATTTTCGAATTTTAATAGAACAGGGAATAGAGCAAGATATTACATTGAATTTATTGTCTGTGATTTGATTTTGAGAGCTGAAGGAGTATGATAGAAGGGTAAAAGTAGTGAAATATAGGAGCTGGACAGATGAAAGAGAATACGAGGGTGGTAATTTAGAATTTGAAATCATGAAGTTTTTTTAGTATTGTTGATCTTGGACCTTGGATGTCAAACTAATTGCTGATACTAGGATATTGTTATGATCTTTCTGTAGTGTGTTGTTTATTTAATTGTAGTCTTAATCATCTGACTTTGATTTCCCATTTAGCATTCTAATTTTAAATCACATTATTCCAGGCAATCAATTTTAGTTACCTAGTTCATGTAATGATATAAAAATCGAGAGCAAGCATTTGGTTATTATTCACAGAAATAAAAGAGATTCCTTGTATACAGAGCTAGTAATTTGGGTAAGCAAATCATTAACTAAATTATATGTAAGATGGTGACATATTATGAAAATGGACCAGACCGGGTTGATTCATGAGTTTCGTGTCTAGTTTATCTCAGTGACTTCGCATAGGATTTAAG